CAGGTTGAGCTGTTGTTCAGCATCTTAGATGTAGAGGGCAGTGTCACTGGCCCTCATATGTGGGATCCGAACTGGGGCCCTCTGGCTTCCCAAGCGAGTTCTTAACCATCGTGCCACTCCGCCGGCCCGAGGACTGCTTTTATATCAGCCCCTACCACTTTGTGTTGTCTTCTGTAGCTTTCTGTGGTACTAGTGTCCTCGTTGAGATCCTACCCTGGTTATTCTTACACAGGGGACATTAAGCAGTGTTTGAAGACATTTTTGATTGTCATGCCCCTGGGTGGGAAGCATGGCGAGATGCTACTGACACCTAATAACTGGTAGAGGCCAGGGATGCTGCCAAACATCCTATAATGCATATGACAGCACCCATAGCAAAGAATTATCTGGCCCGAAACGTCAATAGCCCTGAGATTGAACAGCCCTGCTAGTCTGAGGGGACTTGGCCTGCGCTAGTTGTTCAGCAACTCTAGTTGCTGTTTTATATGATTTCATTATGTGGTCCCAGCTTCAGTGTAGTGATACGTGAGCACATTCAATAGGAATTAAATACATAATGATTAATTCATTTTATGAATGTGTATGATTTCCTCTTCAGGCCCTGTTACTATGACTAGTGTACACCCGCCAATACGTTCACCTAGTGCCTCCAGCGTTGGGAGCCGCGGAAGGTAAACTGACTGTAGATAGAAAATCTCTAATTGTATTTCTCTTGCCCCAGTGCACAACATGCTTTGGTACTCAATACATTTTGAACAACTTTATTTTTGATTTTTAAACTAAAATGTTAATAGTTATTATACATTATTATGTTAATTAGTGAGTTAAGTAAATTACAATGTTATATTTAAAGATACAAAATAATTTGTGTATATGTTGAAAATAGGAAAATATGCTTGACTTTAGCTTGATAGCAAGAAAAAAAGTAAAAGTGAAGCAGGCCTAACACACTGTACTATATAGGCACACACACAATTACAAACTTAGGGAAAAGTTCTACTAACTTCAGTGTTCTCTGACTTTTTTAATGACCAAAGATTGATTCTGCTTTAAAATAAATTACATGTGTTGAAAGTCTATTTTAACTTGCTGTTTTGCACCTCAACTCATTAGGCTTGTAAATTTCTCCTAGCTATTCAACCCAATTCTTACCTTTTTTAAAGATTTTTTATTGGGGAATTGGGGGGATGGGAACAGTGCTGGGGAACTGGGGGAAGGGGAACAGACAAGTTGCTGTCGTTTTGTTCTTCAGTCTAGTTGTGGAGGACGTTGCTTCACTGGCCCAAGTTGGCACCATCATTGCGCTCTTCCCGGGCGAGGCAGATCAGTCGCCGGCTTCTGGACAGCCACTCACTGCGGCTGCTGGCCGCTCACGCTGGCTGCTGGCTACATACGATAGCCCATGGCAACCCACTGCCTCAGGGGCTGCAGCCTATGCCGTCGCTGGCGACTCACGGCAGCCCAGCTCCAGGTTGAGCTGTTGTTCAGCATCTTAGTTGTGGAGGGCAGTGTCACTGGCCCTCATATGTGGGATCCGAACCGGGGCCCTCTGGCATCCCAAGCCAGCTCTTAACCATCGCGCCACTCGGCCAGCCCCCAATTCTTACTTTTTATAATCATGTGGAAGGCATATTTTCTGAACGGAAAAATTTGAGTTTAATCCCATTAGAACATAGTGGCTCTGGGTAAAAGGCTTTTGTCCCACTACATTTTTAAATAGCAGAACATCAATAAATTATGTCCCTAGTTAACTGTCTTCACACTTTGTAACAATAAATAGTTAATGTGAGCCTAGAGTTCCGTCACTGACTAGAGAAGGAAATGGGAAAGCCTAAAAAAAGATGCTAGTTCTAAAATAGTAACTCTGGCTACCCAATTTTAGAGCCTCAGAATATCGAAGTCAGTTTTCTTTTAATTCAGGTCTTATTTCAATTTATTTAAATATCTTTCCAGATGTATAATATAACAGATTAATATATAGAACATTTTTTATACGTAAGTGGAACTTTTGTATACAGGAGTTGCATTTAACTTCTGTATCATTTATTGCTGATGTACATAGTTACCATTGCTGTGAATGGCATTATTCAGAAAGCTATTTGATACTTCGTTTTGTGATACTTAAGGTCGCATTCTTAGATTTTTTTCTTCCTCTTTCTTTCTTACACTTATAGCTCTGGCTCTTCCAGCAAACCGGCAGGAGCTGATTCTACACACAAAGTCCCAGTGGTCATGTTGGAGCCAATCCGAATAAAACAAGAAAACAGTGGACCCCCTGAAAATTATGATTTTCCCGTTGTTATAGTGAAACAAGAGTCAGATGAGGAATCTAGGCCTCAAAATGTAATTATATCAATGACTGAATACTATTTTCTATTTGGAGGATTGGGTGAGAGAAATTCTTAAATATCTCATAGGAGGTAAAAAAAAAAGTTATATTTTAAAGCAGGGAAATAGTCAACTTAAAGGCTGAAAAATTTGAGGAAAACTCAGTAAATTAAAACAAAAAGATGGATGGAAAACAGAAGAGGAAAATCAGAGGCTCAAATGAGGAGGTTGGGAATGGAATAAAACAGAAAGAATGGAATAAAACACAAGGAAGGTAATTGCCAAAGAAATAATATAAGGAGTAACTGAAGGGTATGAGCATCTGAATCGAAAGGGCTTAACAGGTACCAGAATTTAAAGTGAAAAAAATTATCAATCATGCATAAAAATTAAACACTTTTAGACATATACTTGTATGCAAGGTTTCAGAAAATTTGATTTCCATGTACTCATTCTCAGGAAGATATATGAAAATATCATTCATTAGAAATGGAGGAAACCCAGAAAGAGGAAGACATAAGATCCTAGAAATGGGATCGCACACAGAAGAGAAGCAAAGGAAAGTGTAGTCCCCAGTACAGCAGCCCGTCCAGCACACACCCTGCAGCAGGAGGGTAGAAGTCTGCATAGGGGTGTATGGGAGGGGAGAAAATGTTCCACCAGCATCGAGAAGCATTTTATAACCGTGTTGGTGGTTGTGAGAATGACTTAGAGATAGGTAGCTAGAAAAATAAGCAAATGAAATAAGTAAATAAATAAAATGCATGTACATATGTAATTATTGACTCACAGTAAATCAAAGATGAAAAAGGACATTTAGTCATAGTGCATTCTGTGGTTATGCAGTGAACAATATTTAGATAGTTTAAGTGATATAAACAAACACCTGAATACAGATTTAAAAACTAGATATAATCAGGAAAATAACCTGAATATTCATTTAAACAAAAATTGATTTTCATGCTATTCAAGCAGTATAGCAGTGTTATACTGCTGCCTACCAACTTTAAAAAAACCCCCAAAAAACCAAGGCTCAATACCACGATATTTAAGAGAATGGCGTGAGTGAGTGAGTGAGTGAGTGTGTGTGTGTGTGTGTGTGTGTGTGTGTGTAAGTGTAAGGAAGGAGTGGAGAGTCAGGCAGAAAAAATCGAACTTAGTAGGGAATATGTGTATGTTTAAAACCGAAAATGTGTTTAAAATATGAAAATCTGAGAAATTGTAGCACAGCATATTTTTTAGAAATAGAGAAATAACAGAAGAAAAAGCTAAATTGAAAATAATTGCCTCCAAGGCGTGAGATTATATACCCATGCTTTTAACAAAGTCGATGGTTAATACTTTGAAATTTTAAAAAATGTTTAAAGGAGATAAAAGATTTTGTTAGTGATTTGAAATTTTCACCAAACTAGGCGCCAACATAAAATTTAGATTCATCTTAAAGTTATTAATGGCTCCTGGAGGGGTGAAATTACTTCTAAGAATTAAAGCAGTATACCTTCCTATGAATGATAAAAAATCTACACTAGGCATGTATTATGTCTAGGTATCATTTGAATTAACAGCTCCAATAAAAATGTACTTATAGTTCATATGGTTGACTTGTATGCCACCCACCTATTTTCCCATTTCTGTAGCCATCAGCAGATTCAAAGATTTCTGCTGTTACCCATATCCCCTTACTACTGATAATCGATTTTGATGGTATTTTTCAGTAGAGGTCCATGTCTTCTTTACCAGCAGAGACTCTAATACCGTTATCAGTAAATATTCTATTCTCTTGCATATTCAGACTCCTTTGAAGTAACCAGGTGCTCATAAGAGAGCAGTCTTCGGTCCAAAATTGAAGTAGCTGTAATAAAAGTGTAGAATGCCAGTTTTAAGAAATACATATCCTCTTACCTCTTTCCATTGCAGACCAACTATCCGAGAAGCATCCTCACCTCCCTGCTCTTAAATAGCAGTCAGAGCTCTGCTTCTGAAGAGTCCGTGCCAAGATCAGATGCCCCTGACAGTACAGGAGATCAACCTGGACTTCACCAGGAAAGTTCCTCTAATGGAAAGCCTGAGTGGCCGGATGCCTCCCAGAAGTCACCGCTTCATGTTGGAGAGCCAAGGAAAGAGGATGACCCCAATGAGGACTGGTGTGCTGTTTGTCAGAATGGAGGGGAACTCCTGTGCTGTGAGAAATGTCCCAAAGTATTCCATCTTTCTTGTCACGTGCCCACATTGGCCAATTTTCCAAGGTAAGATGGTATTCTCTTCCCCTTTCCCATATTTTTTCACTATAAATAACAGCAGTAAACTTTTGAGGATCATTGTAACATAAAATCTTTATAAAAACTTCAAGTCCACTTGGCACAAATCCATACTTCAAAACCTTCAACGTAGGATGCCCCATACCCTGCCTCCCCATTCCTTGTGCTTCTCTCAAAAACCTAGTCCATTATGGAAAGAAAAACAACCAACTCCATTAAATTATTACAAGAGGTTGCCATGAAGAACAATGGTCCTGATGTACAACTACCACGATTTATTGCATCTTATTTGCCAGGCCTTGAACTGTAGCATTTAAAAATATCGCAAGTAAATTCTCCAACAGTCTTGTAGAAATGATAATGATAATGAAACATTGAGTTAATGTCTTAGTTCCAAAAAGGCGGCTACACTGTCTAAAATTTAATTTCAAACTTAAAGTTGCAAGAACAGTTCCAAGAGCGTTTCTGTTTCTTAACATTTGGTGGGAAATGCCAGTTGTGCCTCACATCAGCCATAGATTAATATATATGATTATGTAAGTGTTTATTTTGTATATGTATTTTACACCACTTAGGCCTTGGAATTATAGTTCTATAGGCTCTCTCAGCATGGTACATAGATCTACAGTAAATCCTCAGTGATTAAAATTCATGACAAATAAACAAGTCTGTATCACACGGATGGCATGGAGGAGGTGGGAAAGGGGTATGGTGAAGAGAGAAATAATTAATGCATTGGGAACTCAAATACTTTATCGTCCAACAGTGGAGAGTGGATTTGCACTTTCTGCCGAGATTTATCCAAACCAGAAGTTGAGTATGATTGCGATGCTTCCAGTAACAACTCAGAAAAAAGGAAAACTGAAGGCCTTGTTAAACTAACACCAATAGATAAAAGGGTAAGTTTTTGAGCGTTTCCAGCCTAGACTGATAAACAGCTTTTTTTGGGTTTTGGTTAGGTACAGTATTGTAATGCAGGTGTTCCTTTGGTCAAAGAAGTGTATATTCAGTTAAATTTTATACCGACTTCTTTTTCCTTGAGCATTTTTTTCCATAAAACTATAGGAGTCTTAAACAATATATTTAAAGGCAGACTATAACTTTTCTTAGTTAAAAAAATCACAGTACTATATATACATTTTCCAGAAGTTGAAAATATTGCACTTGAACAAGGTAAAATGCTCATCCTTTATGTGGTCTGGACTCTTCAATTCAGTATACCTTTAGTAAATTTCTGTTTTGTTTTATTTCTGTTACAGATAGGTTTTCTTCCTCAGAATTTGAGAATTGGCACCAGAGAGATGGGTTTTTCTATTTTCCAGGAAATAATTCCAGTTTTTTCACCCAGTGGTAGGAGGTTATACCTCAAAGCCAATGAACATGTTTAACTAATTAACATTTAAACTTACTAAATCAAGACTTCTGTATTACCAAAGAAGCTCCTTTGCTTAGTTATTAAATAGAACAATCAGCATGAAAGTTGTCATGCAAGGGGGGCCCAAACACACTACCACTGCTACCTGTTCTCTGGGGGTTACACCGTAAGCAGAAACTTGGTCAAGTGCATGATACAACGATCTGCAGCAGAGAGAGGGCGTTGGGACTGGACACACCATGGAGAGGGCTCCACCTTTAGCTCTCTTCATGTACATATGCTCTTCCTTTATTGACTATTAACTCAATACAAAAATTGGAGAGATGAGTGGAAATTTATTTTTAAAGAGCTTCAGCTGGGTTTCTAGCGATAATGCTTTTGTTCCTACAATTACAAAGACTGCTCTCATCTATAACATAAACCCCAAACTGTCAAACAATACAGTTCAGTATTCATCTGGTTTTATTTTTTATTCTGGTACTTTGAGACCCGTGACATTGTTATTAAAACTAAGCTGTGACCTCACCATTATTATTATTTTTTTTGCTTAGAAGTGTGAACGCCTACTTTTATTTCTTTACTGCCATGAAATGAGCCTGGCTTTTCAAGACCCAGTTCCTCTAACTGTAAGTATTAATGTCATTTTATGCATTTTTATACAGTGGGATGATTTTTCTGAAACTTGATTTATGAGAATCAAGTTTCTGTACCATTTTTAAATAATTTCTTATATATAATCCAATCTTAAAGCTGATTTGTACGTTCTGAATGCTTTGATTTTAAATACATTTTGATGTTAACAATTGGCCCAAAACTTCTATTTATTTTTCATATATTCTTCTCATGTCATAGATTTTTATCTATTATTCTCTGGGATGTCTTTTTTATCAGTTGTCTATCTCAAGGAGGTTTAGGAATATATCCTAAACTGTTGGGGAAATCTTTCCATTTGAAATAGAGACCCTCAAAATTCTCTGTACATATTTTGATTTATAGGTCCAGACTTGAAGTAATAATAGAGGAAGGTCGGAGTGTGTGTGTGTGTTAACCATTGACTTCAAAAAGGTTCATATTGAAAGTCTGGTATGACTTGAAGGCATAATTTTAGAGTGCTGGAAGTAGTATTTAGTTTATTCTCTGATGTCCAAAATTCCTTTAAAAACTTAATCGATTTATTCTAGTTTGATAAATTAAAATTTAATGCAAGGGTAAAACAGAAAACGAGCTTAGTAAATATATTCAGGTGAGAAACAATGAACTTCTCTCGAGATCAGGTTTTGAAAAGGTAAGATAGCAAAAGGAAATATTTTCAGGGGAAGGACCTTTTGTATCCAAAAGAGGCAAGACAAAAATGTCAAAGGAAAAAAAGCTTTCCATTACCAATAAAAACTTGATCCACTTAAAAATTTAACCTAGAACTCAGTGCTTTTTATGATCTTGGCTTAGTTACATTTGGTATTAATAACAACAGCAGTAGCAAAATAGCCCCCCTTTTTCTTTCTAAATGAGATATATCATCTCATTTAGTCTTTACAAAATCCTGTGAGGACTGGTACAATTATCCCTATTTGATATATGAAGAAACTAAGGTTCAGTGAGGTTAAATTAAGTAACTTACCCACGAACATGCTGTACTGAGTAGCAGAGCTGGGGTTTAAACCCAGATTCAAAGCCCATTTGCTCTAACACATGCAAGAAAAATATGTCAGATCCAACTAGGAGTAATACTTTTTCTAGTAATTTCTTTTTGTTTAATAATGAAGGAGAATAGAGGTTTAAGAGGGAAGATGTAAGTTTTTTTCATTAAAAATAATTGGTGGATATTTCCCCCATTGGAGCCAATGTTGTGGCTGCACCAGCCCTTGCAGTTCTTAAAAGCAGCAAGTGAAAAGCGGTTACCTACAAGGGAGCTCCCATGAGACTGTCAGCTGGTTTCTCTACAGAAACTTTACAGGCCAGAAGGGATTGGCACGAAATAGTCAAATGAACAAAGCAGAAATAAATTCATAGATACAGAGAACATTTTGAGAATTGCCAGTTGGGAGGGGTTGGAGGAGGTAGTGAAAAGGGGAGGGGATTAATTAAGAAGTACAAATTGGGAGTTACAAAATAGTCATGGGGATGTAAAGTGTAGCATAAGGAATATAGTCAGTAATATTATACTAACTATGTATCACATGGGTATTAGATTTATTTGGGTAATCACCTCAGAAGTTATATAAATGTCTGATCACTATGCTGTACATCTGAAACTAATATAATATTGTATGTCAAATAATTGAAAAATATTTTTTTTTAAAAATGGGTGAAAAATTTTGAAAATAGTGACAGAACATTTTTCAATACATGGAAATGGGGAATTTATTTAGAACCAGGTAGAATTTAGTTATTTGTATAATAGTGTCTCATTTATTTTGAAAGGTGCCTGATTATTACAAAATAATTAAAAATCCAATGGACTTGTCGACTATCAAGAAAAGACTACAAGAAGACTATTTCCTGTATACAAAACCTGAAGATTTTGTAGCTGATTTTAGATTGATCTTTCAAAACTGTGCTGAATTCAATGAGGTATGTTGGGGGGAGGGGGAGCCAATAGCAATATTGAAAGTAATGTTAAACCAAACACCTTTTCAACAAATAAGGAGATTCAGATATCTATTTATGCTAGCATAAATTTCCAAAAGTTTTAGTCTATCAAGGAATGACTTAATCCACAGTTATATTCAAAGGTTTATTATATAGTGAGTGAAAATGCAAATTATAGCTGACAACATGAAAAGAATTTAGAAAATATTTTTATCTAACCAAGAAGCATTTTTTGTCATTCCCACCTTTATTTCTTTTTGATATTGACTTTGAAATATTACAGATGTGGTCTAAATAACTCTAATTTTAAAATTTTCTCAAATTTTGTCATCTGACAATTTATCGAAACATCTGTCAGACTTAACAGCCTTTCCTTCATGGTGTGTTCTATGTATCGGATACTCATTTCAGAGTTCCACATTTAATTCTAAAAGCACCTGTTACATAAATCTGTGATTATGTCATCTTTTTATCTTTCTTTGGTAATCCAGTCCTACCACTACCACCGCCTTATAGAATAATCCAGATGAGTCAAACCCTTTTATTTAACTTTTTTCTGACCTCTATTATATTTTGCCCAAGACTATTTACTTTATATCAATGACATTGCATAAACATTTTCCCAAAATGATCCATGGGTATTCATAATAATCTCAAAAGGCAACAAAAATGTGAGAAATTTACTACTTTTATTGACTGTCTCAAGTGTTGGTATTTGTTTTTTAATTAATATTTTTCTTTTTATCCAACAGCCTGATTCAGAAGTAGCCAATGCTGGTATAAAACTTGAAAGCTATTTTGAAGAACTTCTAAAGAACCTTTATCCAGAAAAAAGGTTTCCTAAACTAGAATTCAGGAATGAATCAGAAGATAATAAATTTAGTGATGACTCAGATGATGACTTTGTACAGCCCCGGAAGAAACGCCTCAAAAACACAGAGGAACGCCAGTTGCTTAAATAAGCAGCACTGTTGGTGTGTGCTGGTTTTTAGATTTTTTTTGTTTTCAAAAAAAATAAACATTTTGTGAGTAATTTAACATCATTACAAAGAAGAGTTTGTGACCACTCTGATCTGTAAGTTTTTGATGTTTACTAGACTTTGATTTTCTTAATAACCCATTTCTTTTAACCTTCGAAAAAGAAAGAAAAAAAAGAGAAAGGAATGAATGGAGAGAGGAAGGAAGGAGAAAGAAAGGAAAATACAAAGAAGCATCAACAACAAAACAAAAAGACATTATTCCCACTTCCTGGATTTCAAAACTATAATCTGGAGTGATAGCTACTATAGAAAGGAAATAGACTTAGTATGAACTCTGAGTTGAAAATTTAATGTGGTTTGGATATGTGCGTTAATCCATTTTTAGAAAATACCACTACCCATTCATTATGGCCCCACCATGAGTTAGGCGTACTGTCCTTAAGAGCGGTACTCCATGAACTTGGATGGTAATAATAAGAGTTCTAGGATGCCGACTCGTGCAATGAAAAAGTAGGTTAGATCCTGTTATGAAGACACCTAATAGTATAACATGTAAGATGGAAACTGTATTAAAGAAAAAGCAGGAAAACAAATGTTTGATTTTTATTTTTGTTTCTTTCTTGTCTATAGAGGTGTTTGGTAAAGCAGATTTTCAAGGCAATTTTTTCATCCATTTCTTTAACTTCTTCCACTGAGGAAGTAAGTGAACATGTTTGGTTTTGCTGTATATCTATATGTGGTTTTGTTGTTTGTTTCAACTGTGCAGGTGATCCTTTTATAACAAGACTCATTGTTTGCAGTATGGCTTTTAGTGGAACTACCCAAAATATGAAATACAGCAGTGTGTGCCGTATTTGATGTGAGGATTCTTACAATATACCCAATTGGGCATTAAATGTAAGTTCCCCTGAAAGGGACTAGTTTTTCTGGTTTTCATCTGTCTTTATAGTTTGGAATGAAAATGTATTGTGAAATTTGGTAGCAGGCAGCTGGAGGGAATTATAGTAAAAATTTAATTTTTTTCTGAAGCATCTATTTCCTATTTTTAGGAGTTAGAACCTCAAATTGAATCTTTCATCTGACTTAATTTTGAATTTCATTCTTAAAGAGATACAAAAGACCTATCTTCTGAGGACAAGCATATTCTTAATGGGCCAGACCTAGCTAATTTAACTGACATTCATTTATTCCTTATTGTTCAGTGTCAAAGAAGGAGACCAGATTAAGATAGAAGACAATTGCTGTGCCATTTGCTAATCTAACATTTGACAAGATATTGCCATCTGAACTTTTTACTTTGCCAACGTAAACCTTTGTTTATAAAACATTAATTAGCTAAGGAAATTTTTCTCTTTAGGATGAGAGGGTAAAAATATAGCTGACTTAACAGAATTTGATTCTGTGGATGGTATCATCTCCCATGAACGAAACCTAGAGGACTTTTATCCATATGGCATTACTTCTTAAACTGGACAATTTGAAAATATTCTGTGGGGAATTCATTGGGTTTTCAGATATTGCCAAAGATAAAATATGAGAAAACAACTTATTAGCAATAGCTTTTTACTTTTCAAATAAATTGAAGTTTTGCCCATAATATGTCAATTATGTATTAACAGTTTAAAGTCTTAATCATTTTTCCAAATCTGTGTTCAGGGTAATTGTTGTGTTATTTTGAACATGCATTTGACTTTCTCCAAAGACTGCATATACCATTTAATTTTCTTTTTTTGCTTCAGCATTTATAGCACAGCAGCTGTGGGACTTTTACTAATAAGTTTATTGTTGGTATCTTAGAATACTGTTCTTTTGACAGTTTGTTCTTCCACAGTTTGTCTCCTGAGTTAAAACAGATCAACACGGATAAATTTTGAGGAGGATCACAAAGGGAAGTGACGCTAAAGAGAGAAAAAATAGAATTTTTTAAGTGCATCTGAGCCAGAATGTCTAATATACCCAAAACTTGGTTATAGTCAGTGCCATATTAATCTTTTAAAACTGTATTTGTTTTGCTTTTACCATTTTTTGCTAAATGAAAGGCAGTTGAGAACCATCTTGCCTGTAATCATAATATAAATTATATTAAAAGTGTTTTTCTCTCCAATAGCCATCAGGACCATCTTTGAGATTCAAGTCCTGTGACCTTACTAACAAGCTCCTTATGTGCTCAGGTGGATCCCAGCAAAGTAGTCCTTAAATTCTAATAGACGTAAGCTATAAGATGACCCTAACTATCCCATCTCGTTTAGAGAGCAGCCTCCCAAAATTTCAGAGCCATTTAAGCAAACTTGACCTATACTTAAAACACCAGTGTTTGTCTCTGATCAAGAGCCCAGTGTCATAGCTGCAAGAACCCCAGTACTGAAAATGATCACACTATCACACCTTTAGCCAGGGCTTACGAAGGAGCAGACCATGTGGGAGCTACGATTAACTCAGTCCAACTCATTGAATGCTTTCCCAGGTGCCAGGCATCTGATCTTTCTGGCAATAGGGAAACCCAAGTACACAGTCAGTGACTTATGTATCTAAGGCAGAAGTATAAATGGACTGAGATATACCATATTAAATTCAAAATACATTTGTACATGAGCAGCTGGCAATGCAGCCCTTTTGTCCTTTGAATTATTAGCAGGCCCTGCTTATCTTTTCTGAATGGAGGGGTAGGAAATTGGAAGGTGCTAAAAGGAAAATGTCCTCTTCCTCTTCCCTTCATAATTTTACTTTCTTTTCCAAGCTAAAGAATAGGCTCCATATTTTACTCCCACACAGTAACATAGGAATGCTTTCAGAGAGGTTCACTCCACAGTAAAAAAGGTGAGTATACATACAGCCCATTGATCTATTTATGAATTTACATTTCAAAGTCCTATGATGTCGCAGTGCTTAAACTTTTAAATGTGGGTTCCATGAAGAGCCTAGTTAGACAATGAGGTCCGATCCACAAATAATGTGAATCCCCAAAACAAGTTGCTTCATGTGAACAAAAAGTTTTTAGCTTTCAATAGAAGATGTACTCATTTTCTGTTATCTGTATTTGTTATGAAAGAGAGAAATCCAAGTGATCTGATTAGCCATTAAAGTCATGGATGTACCATGAGTTTCAGCCATCTGCTTTCTTATTGAAATAGAGCCCCTCGTTTTAAATAACCATGTACATATTTCTCGAAAGTATTTTATAACGTCATGTAAATTAATAGTTGTCTTTTTACAAACACATTTTATTAGCCCCTTCATTTTGGGTGTGAATTTACTAAGTTATAATTCACATGCCGGTGGCTCATGTTCCCGAGTGAAAATAATGCTAGCCAATCAGATCACAGATTTCTTTCTCCGTGAAGGTTTTGCTTATTGTGAAGGACATCTGAGACAGTAGTCTTTGTTTAATTTTAGGGGGCCAACTGGTGCTTTGATTTTAATAAAAATTAGCTTCAATGCATTTTTATTGTGACTGTTTTACCACAAGGAATTTTTAATGGAAAAATCACTGTATGTCATTCAGTAGAATTTTAACTAGTTTGAGTCTCCCCTTCATTACTATCTTTGTGTGTTCCTCTATAAAATTGATACATTTTAAAAATTCTAACACATGAATTTCACCAGCCTTAAAAAATAAGCAAAAATTAATTTGGCATACAGGAAGGAAGGGAATGATAACTATCTGCATTTGCTGATTCTGTGTCCAAACCCCTATTCCTGCCCCAAGATGCTGTAAAAAAAATCACTTGTCTGAAACTTGTTGGGGGAGAAGGGCATTATACAAAAAGTGGGGACGTTTACAAGTCACTTTGCAAGTTTACCTATGTTAATTTCACTTTAAAGGTTGGAAAGTTTTGATTATCAGAAATTACAACTATTTTAAAAACTCTCTATTGGATATTTAATAGATCTTACTTTGATGGGGTTGGGAACAGCCTTGTATCTGATTCTTAAATGAGTTTTTAAACAGAATAATGAAGTCCTAATTTGAGTTCTAAAAACAACCCTTTCTTACAAGTTACAAGTTTAAACAGCAAAATTCTGTCTTTCCCACATTTTCAAATACAGTATGGAAGAAAGTCTAATTTGAAGTTGTCTACGAAAGAATGTCCAAACCTGTAGAAAGCTTTATAAGAATTTGAGTCAAGATTTGAAAACATGGCCCAAATGATCTCAACACATTGAGAAAATGCTCTGGAGAAGGGCAGTTTTGCAGCTTATTTTATATACATTTAGAGTCAAACGAGAAAACACAAGGAGGCGCATCAAATCCATGGGTAGTAGATTAAGGAGGCGGGAGAAAGCAAAATGGGGAAATCCCTAAGATTGGATAAAAAGGAAAATGGAAATATACATGCTTCCTTTACATTGGTGGGTATAGGAGTGTTAATAACCTTTACAGCACATAGAGATGGTGTGCAGGGAACATGATAACAAGAATTTCATGGTCTTGTGCTCTGGTGCCAGCAGCTGTGCCTTCGAGGGGCCTGGAAAAGGAAATGACTCTGACATGTCAAAAGCACGTGATCCTAGATCGTGAGAACAGTGGACGGGCTCACTGAGGGTCAAGATGCACCTTTGCTAAAGAAGCTGGGGGCCTGGGAACGTGACTTAACCTGCCCAGTTAGGAACTTACGATCAGATTGTCCTTTGTGGTTACTTTCTGTCCTTGGGCTTGCCAGGCCTGCCAAGTGTCCCCGAAGCTTGTTGGGTCTACTATATCACTCCTAGGGTTCACAGAGTTCTCTGCCATGTACCAGGATACTTGTGAATGTGAACTCTTTGCCCATGTTCTCTAATGCCTGTAACCCAGGGGCGCTTTCCATGGCAGATGATGGAGGCCCAGCTTTGACCGTTTGGGGGAGAGGATAAAATATCCTTTTGACACTTGGAATGAGAATGTACTGACCTGAGAAGTGGCATTTCCCCAAAAGGAAAGAGGAGGAATGGCAGTAAGGCAGGAGCCACAAGCCCAGTGGGCCACCAGGTGTGACACTTGGACGACGCTGCTGGTCCTCGAGCCTGATCGTGTTTGGGATTTACTAACGAGGGTATAAGCTAAGAAAGCTGAACATGCAGAAAGTCTAAAATAAAGGTTTTGGAATTCATTTTACAGAAGGATTTTTTTGCCATTATAGACTGTGCTTTAAAGAGAGTTACAGAAATCAAATTCCCTTTTAGATGTAACATGACTCTGTAGATTCAGAAAAATTCAACCTCTATCCTATTACATAAAACAATATGCTTCTACAGAGGTTCTAGTTATATTTTTACTGTTTTCAGTACCTCAACCAGTGTTGTCATCTTTTCATAGGCTCTGAAACCAATTCAGAAAAGTTCTTAAAGGTAAGTGACTTGAAATTTGTTGACTTTCATTTCTACTAATACTAGTAAGGTAAACAATACCCATGCATTTATCAAGGATTTCTCAAATTTAGTATGCAATTAAACTTGCATTAACAGAGTTCGCTGTGGACATAGTGTCTTCTAAGAAGCCGGGGTGCCAGACACTGCTGAACAACATCATAAAGTTCCTTAAGCCTGGACACCCCCACAGCCATTGAGAGTTCCTGAAATTTGGGAAGGTGCTTAATCATCAGGTTTGTCATTGGTGGACTCTGGTTTTAATTATAAATTGCTGCTAATGTCAACTTTGGGATTTTCCTTGTTTTTGTTTTCAATTGCATTTGACATACAAGATTATATTAGTTTCGGGTGTACAACAGTGATTAAACATTGGCATACCTATGAAGTGATCCCCTGATAAGTCTAGTACCCATGACACCACAGTTGTTAACGATATTGTGGATTGTATTCCCTGTGCTGTACTTTACATCCTTGTGACCGTTTCTATACATGGCAATTTGTATTTCTTAATCCCTTCATCTTTTTTGCCCAACCCCCTTCCTATCTGGCAACCCTTTTGTTCTGTTTGTTCATTTATTTTGTTTTTTTTAGATTCCACATATCAGTGAAATCATATGGTACTTTGTCTTTCTCTGTCTGACTTATTTCACTCAGCGTAATGCCCTTTAGGTCCATCCATGTTGTCATGAATGGGAAGATTTCATTCTTTCTTTACGGCTGAGTAATATGCCATTGTATATATGTAACATTTCTTTATCCAGTCGTCTATCAATGGACTCTTAGGTTGCTTCCATATCTTGGCTGTTGTAAATATGCTGCAGTGAACATAGGGATGCTTATATCTTTTTCAAATCAATGTTTTGGATTTCTTTGGAGAAATACCCAGAAATGGAATTGCTGGGTCATATGGTAGTTTTATTCTTAATTTTTGAGGAACCTCCATACTGTTTTCCATAGTGGCTGCACCAATTTGCAATCCCACCAGCAGTGTACAAGGGCGCCCTTTTCTCCACATCCTCACCAACACTTGGTGTTTGTTGATTAATTGATAGCCATTCTCACAGGTGTGAAGTGTTATCTCATTGTGGTTTGAATTTGCATATGTTTGATGATTAGGGACATTGTCGTGTCCTCTGGAGAAATGTTTGTTCAGGTCCTCTGCCCATTTTTTTATTTGGATTGTTTTTTTGGTGTTAAGTTGTATGAGTTCCATATATATGTTGGATATCAGCTCCTTATCAGATATATCATTGGTGAGATCTTCTCCCATTCAGTAGTCGTCTTTTAGTTTTGTTGGTTTCCGTTGCTGTGCAAAAACTTTTTAGTTTGACGTTGTCCCATGTGTTTATTTTTTCTTTTGCTTCCCTTGCCCAAGGAGATATGCATCCCAAAAAACATTACTAAGAGTGACATCAGAAGTTTACTGCCTGTGTTTTCTTCTAGGAGTTTTATGTTTCAGGTCTTATATTTAAGTCTTTAATCCATTTTGAGTTTATTGTATATGGTGTAAGAGAGTGGTCCAGTTTTCCCAGCACCATTTATTGAAGAGAGTGTCTTTATCCCATTGTATATTATTGTCTCGTTTGTCGTAATTAACCATATAGGAGTGGGTTTATTTCTGGCCTTTCTAGTCTGTTCCATTGATCTATGTGTCTCTTTCTATGCCTGTACTGTCCTTTTTATTTAAAATGAAGAAGTTGAATGTTTCATTATTAAACTGTTTTCCTGTAAGGCAGTTGCTTCACTGTATCAAAATAACACCAGCAAACACAGCATGTTGCAAAATTAAGATCATATCATTCATCATCTGACACTGTACAAGTAGCAAAAACTTTTCTCCACTACCAGTTATTTCCAGTGGAAAGATCGTTAAATATTTTGACCCAGAGATGGATGCAAGCAAGTTAACAACATTATATAAGGTTTAAGAGAACAATGCTATCCTTAAATTACATAATATTTATAACTAGCTTTTACCACAGGATTGTGGTAAAATTTCAAGAATTCTGAATATCGTAACTGTAGCCTAGCCTAAAAACCATAGGATGTTGTGAAAAGGATACATATTGTGTTTATCTGAAATCATCAGAAAGTTAAGGGGTATTTTCTTCCAGTAGCATTGCAGCAAGTAGCAACTTGTAGCAATACCAATGGAAAAAGAAACTATTTTAAATCTTCTAACCACTACTAATTTAAAACGACAATGCTAGGTTAAGTTGTTTCATACTCCTTTATTGGGGGGTGGGGCGCTCCATTTTCAGTCCTCAATAGATTTGATGTATTTCTCATATGCGTCTTCACTTATGAGTTCATCTTGTTCTGAGGGGTTACTCAGTGTCATCTTGATCAGCTAAGCATCTTCATAACAAGATTGGACAAATCCTGGATTTTCTGCAAGAGCTTCATTAATTTCAGTTACTTCTGATAGAGAATAGAGTTCACCAGCAGCTTTCACTTTCCAAAGCGCCAAACTTGTTCAGTTTTGTCCCAACTGCAGGCAAACTATGGTAAACATCTCCCAAAGCTTCCTCTGCAAAACTGCGGATTCCCATTGTTGGTTTGTGGTGACTCTGTGCCTCACATAGATCAACTTATATTTATAGCAGTATATTTTGTTAGTGGTCGTGTAACTTGGAACACATTCCAAAATCCCTACAATTTTTACTCACCCACTCCACTTTTATATTTTTGTCATTGTTTTGTTTCTTTTGCCTTATTTTTTACCCCTTAATTTATTGTTATAATTACCTATGGCCTTTAACCATCAAACTAGCTTTAGAGTTGGGTGAGCCACTGATTTTACTAAGTGTCTGCCTTTATCAGTGAGAATTATTCTTTTTTGCAATCTTTTCTACTTGAATAAGTCCCCGTAACATTCCTTGTTACTGGTTTAGTGGTGATGAACTCTTTTAGCTTTTTCTTGTCTGGGAAACTATCTGCTGTCGAGTCTGTGATATTAGCTTGGTGCAAAAGCAATTGCTGTTTTTGCCATTACAAATAATGGTAAAAACCTCAATTACTTTTGCACCAACCTAGCCTTGCCTGGTAGAGTAATCTTGATTGTAGGTCTTTGCTTTTCATCACTTTGAGTAT